TGAAACAGACCAATACCGAATGATAGTTTTACCTTTTTAGTGTAGCACCTACCATACTTCAGAATTTGCACATAATAAGAGAGCTATAGTTCATCGTTAAGTAAAAATGAAAATGTTTGACTTTTTTCCACTTATATCTGAGAAAGAAGCAAATATATATGCCTATGGTATTATGTAAGGGGAGATACATGTACCCATAGTGTTAATGTGATTTTTTAAAAAAAGAAATAATAAATTATAGTTTATTTCAGAATAGGTAACCTGGTTCTTTTCTAAGTGCTTGGAGATAAAGTCCCAACCAGTCTGTCCTATGGCCAGAAATCCTGAAAGTTTTAGCTCAAAATAGCTACAAGTCACCAAGTTATTTAAATGGGCAACAGGAATCATCCTCACCAATGAGATTTGAGATACATGATGGAGAGAAAGGGAGGGAGGAAGAGAATAAGAATATTAAGAACTCGTAACTTTAGTTTTGCTGGCACATATATTCCTTCCATACTACCCAGGACGTGTCTATTTATCATTCCGTATCTCCCAATACTGGTAATCTTTGACTTACAACAGTTCATTTAGTGACTGTTCAAAGTTGCATCAATGAAAAAAGTGACTTATGACCATTTTTCACACTTACGACCATTGCAGCATCCCGATGGTCATATGATCAAAATTCAAATGCTTGGCAACTGACTCATATTTATGACAGTTTCAGTGTCCCTGGATCATGTGATCACCTTTTGAGACTTTCTGACAAGCAAAGTCAGTAGGGAAAGCAGATTTCTCTTAACCACCATGTTATTAATTTAACAACTGCAGTGATTCACTTAACAACTGTGGCAAGAAAGGTCATAAAATGGGGCAAAATTCATTTAACAAGTATCTCGCTTAGCAACAGAAATTTTGGGTTCAGTTGTGGTCCTAAATCGAGGACTACCTATAAAGAACTGATGATCTTATAATGATCTGAAGGTCACAAGAGAGTCAGAAAGAACTCATTCTAACACTGATGCCACTGTCCATTTATGAATTATGATGTACAACTTGGAGAAAGCAACTCAAATGCGCATGTTGACAGTTACATTACACGCTACAACTGAAAGACTAAATTTGTATCATCCTTTAATATTTTAATATTTAAAAGGCCTACCTGGTAACTGTCTAAGCCCCGTTGCAGTTTGGTTGATCTGGCAGTCACACAGCCAATGGAAACGGACAGAATAGCTTCAACCATAAGTGGCAATGTTCCCGAGTGTTGCACTGGTTTAACTACCACCTGAACTCTACGAGAATGACCCTGTACAATAAAAAAAAAAGGGGAGAGTGGAAGTAATATAAAAATATACTAATACACTAGCATTATTTTTAAGAAGAGAAAATCCCATCCACCATACCTGTCTAAGTTGGAAAATTCCTCCTGTGTTTACATCTTTTGCCTGGTGAAGCTCCACAGCTGCATAATCACCAATTTCATTTAGTTCTTGAATTGAAACCCACATTTCTATTCGACGTGTTACTTCATTCCACCTGAAAACATTTTAAAAAAAAATCAATAAATGTGCTTTTCGGAAGGCCCAGAATAACTCATTCCTGTTGAAGATTCAAGGATAATGTAATACCTGTCTCTCAAGGTCCTAGATTTTGCACGAAGAGAATCTACCTCCCATATGGAGGTTCCGTTTCCAGCACATCTGTGACCCCAGACCTCAATAGCAAGAGCTCCGTCCGCAATGAACTCCAGAAATTCCTCTGTTACATTCACCATATAATCCTAAAAAAAATGGGAACATTTACCACAGAAAACATAATGTATGCCCTGTACGGTCGGTAATGAAGAAATACATCAAATTCCCAGACTCAAAATGGATTGCAAATATAGAGAAAAATACAGCTAAAGCGGGCAGATCGTTCCATGAATCAATTCATCTGCACCAGCATGCTGTACCGCGCAGATTCCAGGATATAGTTAACAGATTTCTATTTTATAACAATAGAATGCTTTCAGAAATAATCAAAAACCAGTTTTTATAGTGGTGGATACAATATATTTTGTATTCAAACCTGTATCGCAGCATGGCAAAGCTGAACTTGAAATGATTGCTATCACCTCTCCCCCAATAAACTTTATTTTTTAAGTTACAAGATTACTTAATTGTCTTTTTAATTATATTATTGTAAGATTAATTATATAACAGTGTGCAATTTTTTTCTTCTTTTAATGATTATATGTTTTTCATTGGTTCTGTTGGTTTTAGCTAAAAGTTTGGTTCATGTGTTTGTGCCTTTGACTCAGTGTTGATTCTAGCCAGACTGTACTAACCATCTCTGCCTTTATCTTGTCAAAATATTTGGAAGTGGTTTGCCACTGCTTTCTTCCTAGGGCTGAGAGGGAGTGAGCGGTCCAAGAACCCTCAGTTGGTTTCATACTGAGGCAGGAATAGGATGTCCTCCTGTTTTATAGCAGGCTGCCTTTAACCTCTTGTCAACGTTGCAAATACTGTATATTCTTGCTTTGACAATATGCAGAACTGTCTGGTATTTTTATAGTTAAATCAGGCAACAGTGAAAGGGGAGGAGAATATAAGGAAAGCCCGGGAAAAAGGAACCGGAAGTGAATCACATCTTCCAAGTTAATTGGAAGATGTGAATCATGACCCCAAAATAGGGGAGGGGAAAATGCCTGGAATG